CAAACCAAACCAGGACCATCCCACAGGCTTCTCCCTGACAACCCAAATCCCTCAGGAGACTGGTGTCATTATGGTCCTATGAACTAGGACCCAGGCAGGGACTGCCCCACTGCCAGCTCCACAGATGCCCACCCCAGGTGCCAGGTCAGACTGTGCTTATTGTTGTTTGTTTGGTATCGGGGATCGACCTCAGATCCTTGGGCTTGCGAGGCAAGCGGTGGAACAACTGAGCTAAATCCCCGGCCCCATGTTTGTTTGTTTTGTTTTTTTGACAGGCTCTCTCTATGTAGTTCAGGTGGACTTGAATTCACTATGTAGCCTACACTAGCCTCAAACTCCCTGCGATCCTCCGGCCTCAGCCTCCCAAGTGCTAGGATTATAGGCATGCACCATAACACCCTCAAAATGTGCTTATTGATTCTGGGCCCAAAGGGGACATTAGTTAGGCAATTGCTTCTCCTGAGGGCAGGACTTTGTCCCCTGTCTAGACTCTGAACCCAGAATGGTGTCTCATATGTGGCAAAGGGTTTTGCCTCTTCTTTTGTGATTTTTATTTACATGTGTACTAGTTTAGAAGTACAAATAAATGCCAACCATGGTGGCATACACCTGTAATCTCAGCACTGGGGAGACTGAGGCAGGAAGATTGCCGTGAGTTTAAGAGCAGCCTGAACTACCTAGGGAGACCCTGTCTCAAAAAAACTAAATAAATAAATAACAAATAATTAATTTGGTTATACATTTACTAAACAATGAAATACAAGACAAAAACACAACCAGCATTATTGCTTTTTGGTTCATGTGCCAGAAATTACGGAACAATTCCTACAGTGTTGGATTTTCATGATTTGGGGGGCTTTTGTAGTGGTGGGGAAATACGGTGTTCATGGACTGAGTGATTGTTCAGAGCACCTACTCGGCACAGGTTCTGCGTGAGATCATTGGGGCCACAGAGGTCACCAGGCAGCCACAGTGGCCTGCAGGACAGAGGACCCATTGGGCCTTCCAGACCCAAGGAACAGCAGCCAACCGCCTCAGTAAAGTGGGAGACACCCTGCTCCGCAAGCAGCATGAATCCCGGAAGGCCCAGCCGGCTGTGGTCCTCCAGCAGAGGGACCCAAGAGAGCTGTGATGCATTTTCAAAATGATTCCAGCTCCCATGCAGCCGTCACCGCAAGCTGCAAGTCCTGCCACACAAGGCTGGATTTCAAAGTGCGACTCTTCTGATCCCACTGGCGATGGAGGGAAATCCCACCTGTACTTCAGAATGAACTCTCTAACCTGACTGACCAGCCAGGAAAGCCCAGACTCTCCTGGGCACTAGGTGTGGACTTCAGGCCGGTGTCGGTATGGAAGGATACTTCTCTGGCCTTTGGAGAAAACCACTAGAAGCTTTCTCTTCTCCATCTCTCTCAAACAGGGAGGGAAAACCCTAAATAGAAACTGATAGCTTGGATTTTTATGTTATACAATTTTTCTAGTTTCCTTAGAAATAGAAACAGGGAGGCGCGGCGATGCGCCAAAACCGCGCCCGCCGCGCCTCGGGCCCCGCTGCGGCTTGCGGCTCGCGTCCTTCGACTGCGCCGAGTGCCTGGAGGTGCTGCACCAGCCCGTCCGCACCCGCTGCAGCCACGTGTGAGCGCGGGCCAGCCGGGCCGGGGCGCGTGGAGTGCGCGTGGCAAGATTCTGCCGCTCCTGTATTGCCACCAGTCTAAAGAACAAGAAGTGGACCTGTCCTTATTGCCGGGCATATCTTCCTTCAGAAGGAATTCCAGCGACAGACTTAGCCAGAAGAATGAAGTCGAGAACTGCGCCGAGTGTGATGCCCTGGTTTGCCTTAGTGAAATGAGGGCACACATAAGGACTTGTGAGAAGTACATTGACACGTACGGACCACTGCAAGAACTCGAGGAGACAACAAGGTGTGTCTGTCCATTTTGTCAGAGGGAATTGGATGAAGACAGTTTGCTGGATCACTGTATCACTCATCACAGATCCGAAAGGAGACCTGTGTCCTGTCCGCTTTGCCGTTTTATACCAAACGAGAATCCAGGCAGCTTCAATGGCAGTTTAATAAGGCATTTGCAAGTTAGCCACACTTTGTTTTATGATGATTTCATAGATTTTAATATAATTGAGGAAGCTCTTATCCGAAGAGCCTTAGACTAGTCGCTTCTTGAATATGTGAATCATTCGAACACCACATAATTTTACAAATAGAAAAGGGAAGCGGAGCATTCAATTGTACCATTTCAGATGCTGCTTGAACAGTTGGAGGGAAATCGTCAATGTTTGATGGAAAATATACAACCCAGTTATAAGTTTGTCCATGGTTATTGTTGTATTGCATTCGAAAACTGCTTTCATTTTGATGGTTTACATCTAGCTTGTTTTTGAGTTTCTTAGACATTTAACAAGAAATAGACTCCATCAGTCATCAGTATATAGAAGAAACACAGGCTGCATATGAAGGTGGAGAATCTCTATTTGCAAATTGGGTGACATTAGGTGTAATGCTACATATTAATAACGACCACCATGGGTTAGTCAAGATAACTAATCTCTGCTCTATGTAAAAAGATGGAGAGAGATGCAAAGTGCAGATATTCAAAGAAATATGAAATTTGTTCCAATGCTCTTGTTGTAGTCTCTAATAGAATAACATGAATAATCTTGTATGGAAATAGGACAGGACAATTTTGAAGTTAACAAAGATCGTTTAACCAAATTATATCGTGTAATACTGTAACAAAATAAATTTTGTGCTAGCAAAAAAAAAAAAAAAGAAACAGAAGGTGGGTATGATGATGCATAGCTGTAATTCCAGCACTTGGAAGGCTGAGGCAGGAGGAGCAAAGCAAGTTCAAGGCCAGACTGGGCTACATAGTGAGTTCAAGGCCAGCCTGAACTACAGAGTGAGACCCTGTCTCAAAAAAAAAAAAAAACTCAGTGATTTCGCCACCTGCTGCACAAGCGCAAGGACCTGAATTCGATCCCCGACACCAAAAAAAAAAAAAAAAAAAAAAAAAAAAAAATCCCCTGTACCAAAAAAAGGGAAGAGAAACAAGAATACACATTCACTTACTCTACCCACCAAGACTATCTTTGTGAAACGCAATTCTCTGCTTCCTACTCCACTGCAGCTGTCAAAAGTTGATGTGGAAGAAAAACCGAAGGTGCCCAGCTGGAAGCTGGTTGTGTGTGATTGTGAGTCTGCCTCTTTCTTGTACTCCAGGGCCCACAGGGCCAGCTGTGTGCCCAATGCTGTGTGCTGCAGTGGGTAATGGTCAGTTTGGCCCTCAGGAAGCCCTGCATTCTGGCTTACTGTCCAGAACTAGCTCCAAAGGATCTTTCTGGTGCCCTGCTGTCTCGGGGGAATTCGCCAGAGTGCTGACCCCATGGGACCTTCAGTACTGTGAGGGCCAGGCTACTTAGCCCTGTGAAGCCCAGAGCTCAGAAGAGAACTCAGAGCCTAGCACAGTGTAGTCTACAGTTGGAATCAGGACGAAGAAGCCCTCTCCGGAAGCTTCATCCCTTCCAGGCCTTTATTAGATGAGGGATGCAGGACAAATCCCAGCTGGCTCCAGGCAGGTCCTGGTGGTGATAAGCACCACACACTCAGTACATTACACTAGCTGGTCTGACGTTCTCTGGATTTATTTATTTTTTCTTTGCAGTACTGGGATTGAACCCAGGGCCTTCAAAATATATCCCAGCCTATTTTTATTTTTTTAATTTTGAGAACATGCTTGGCATGTCCAAAGTCTTGGGTTTGCTCCCCAGCACCAAAAACCAAGCAGAATATCCTAGAAGATAAAATCTCCTACTTAGCTCAAAGGAAGGGGATCCCCAACAGCACTCAGTAAGAGGTAAATGAGGGTGTAGCTTCCTCTTTTGCAAAGCCCATGAGGCAGCAAGGGTGTCTACAACAGAAACCCAGACCATGGCCAGAAAGAGTCTTAGGAAAGAAGAGCCCAGAAACTAGCTCCTCATTCCTCAGCTTGGCTGAATGTTGGGGAACCAGGGGCTTTAAGAACTCCTGATACCCAGGGGCTGGGCAGATGAATGGATGTAGGTCAAAACAAGCATAGCCAAACATCCCCTGCGCATGGTAATGTCTAGATGTAGCTGTACAATTGTTCTCTGCAGAACCCTTTCCATTTTGCCATAAATGGAACATTTTTGAAATGCGATGTTGGGGAAAATTCCCAGGGGAGGCTGGGGTCCAGCCAAGGGTGAGCCCTACTACTGAATCTAGGCCCACACGTTTCACACCCTCTTTGACATCATCCGGGAACTTATTAGAAATGCAGGTTAGCAGGCCCCGACCCAGGTGGGCAAAGTCAGCAACTCTGGGGACAGAGCCAATGACTGGTGTTCTAAGAGTTAATGAAAGGCCCAGCCAAATCTCCTCGGAATAGGGGTGGTGACTGTCAAAAAGAGTGCCCCACAGCACAGAGCCAGCAGCACAATCAAGTGAAACCCTTGAGGCTGCGGCCTCCACACCCTGGACCTCTCCACCTGCCCAGTCATGGATCTACCTCTTTCTCCATTGGTTTCCTAGATCCTTTGTCTGGGTATTTCTTGGCCAAACTGACTGAGGTCTAAAACACAGGAAACCTGCCTAGGGACCTTGAACTCCCACATAGCCCAGACTGGCCTCACACTTGCACCGATTCTCCTGCCTCAGCCTCCCGAGTGCTGGGATTACAGTCATATACCGTCATGCCTACCTTTTTTTTTTTTTTTTTTTTTTTTAAAGAAATGGACCTTAACACTTGGGAGGCTGAGGCAGGAGAAATGTTGCAAGTTCCAGGCCAGCCTAGACTACATAGTGAGTTCAAGGCTAGCCTGGACTACATAGTGAGACCCTATCTCAAAAAAATGAAAGAAAAGAAAAAAGAAACGGACCTTATTGTGTCACAAACCAAGCCACTGCCCAGGAGAACCACTGGGTCATGTCTAGAAAGACAGGAAAGTTTAAACTTCTGAACACTCACCTCTCAGGCTCCGGTGCCTGTCCCTGTGGCTGCACCCAGAGGCTCTGGCTTGCTCAGGATCCAGGGAAAGAGGCTGGGTTTCCTGAAACCCAGAAAAGTCAGCTGGGCCAGTTTAAGAGTATTTTACATACAATAGGACCGACTTCAGATGACTGTCAGACCCAATGGAGAGGCTCAGAGATATCTTTCCCTTGGATCCCACCCAGAAGGCTACGCTGCAGGCCACGGTGGAGGAGCAGAGGGGTCAGGCAATGTCCACACTCTCCACTCCTTTATGGTCAAGGATGAGCCCCTTCTGTTGGTGACTTGGGAAAGAGACCACTGCAAAGGCCTTGGTTTAGCTCAATGGCAGAGGACTTGCTGAGCGTGCTCCAAGCCCTGACCTCACGCATCAGCCAGCCACCCACTCCCACTTAAAACAAGCAAAATCGTTTTAGGTTGTCATGAAGCAAGAAGAGGTTGGACCTGGTGTGGAATAGCCAGGGCTGGAGGACGGGAACAAGCCAGGCAGAATAAGATGGGGAAAGGTGTAGGGAACAGGGGAAGGGGACGTTACCAGAACCTCTGCAGTAAGTCCTAGTCTCCTGCGAGCCACGGCAGCACACGGCGAATTACAGGAAAGGTAGACAAATGAGACTGAGAAGAAGCTGAGCTTTGGGTCTGATCAGTGCTGCTCTGGGCGGCAAAGACAAGAAGCCCTAGCTTGCAGCACCTTTTATTTAGTACATCGGAAGAAACAAATGTAACAAATGAATAATGTAGATTTCAGTATCACATTGGGATGAACAAGGTGTAACAAAAGACTGGGTGGGGGCGGGGGAAATCTAAGAACAATGAGGAACTATGCAGATGAAGATTTGGTTCCTCCCAGGGTGTCTCCCACAGGTGTGGTCTAGTCCTGGAGCATTACAGCGTCATGGGATCATTGAGATCTCCCTTGTGACCTGAGGCCAAAATGGAATTATGTCTTGGAGTGTTATAGCTGGCCTGTAGGCAGGAGAACTAGGCCTCCTCAAATGATTTTTCCCCAGAATTATGTAGCATTCCACTTAAAACAAGGAAAATCGTTTCAGGTTGTCATGAAGCAAGAAGAGGTTGGACCGGGTGTGGAATAGCCACGGCTGGAGGACGGGAACAAGCCAGGCAGAATAAGATGGGGAAAGGGCTTTCCGGGCAGGGGACCAGCAAGGGGAAAGTCTTGAGGAGGAAGAGTTTCACAAAGAAGGAAGAGGCCATGGGAGGTTCTGGGGTCCCAGAGGCAGGTGGGGCCACAGCACAAGGAGCCTTCCTTGGAGCCCAGGAGGAGCGGAAGCCACTGGACAGTTTTCAGAGAGTTCTTGGCTTTGTATGGCCGCCCTCCCCTTGGAATGCCGTCCCCTCAAATATCCCCCTGTGGTATCCCTCACCTATGTCAGGCTTTGCCCGTCATATCATCCAGGCTATCCCTTCCCTCCCCTTCCTGCAGCACTCCCTGCCACCCTCCCTGTTTGCTTTCACATAAGCTTCTCTAACCACCGTGTAATTTGCATAGTTGTTTGTTTATTTGTAACTTTCTTTTTTGGTATCCAGAATCGAACTCAGGACCTTTCACTTGCCAGGCAGGCACGGTGCCACTGAGCTACATCCTCAGCCCAAAGATGAATGAATGAATGAACATTTCTTTTTTTTTTTTTTGGTACCAGGAATCAAACTCAGGACCTTGCGCTTGCAAGGCAGTGTTTGTTTATTCATGAATGTCATATCCGGGAGGGTTTGGGTCTTTTTGGTTCACTGCTGATCCTCAGAGCCCCAACACTGGTAGGTGCTCGGCAGTTACTTCTGGAATGAATGAAGCCGAGAAGAGGTAGCAGCAGGAGTCCAGACCCAAGGTGATGGTGGCCATGGGACAGGAAGAACCCAGGATGTCAGCCTGGGCAACCAGAGCCAGCCTATCCCCAGTTCCAGCACTTTGCGCTTCCCTTACGTGTTATGTCCTGTGGAGCTACCAACCCTAGAGTCCCGGATGCAGACCTGCCCCCTTTCTCCCCTCTTCTTCCTGTCTCTTTGGCATCATTATCCGAAATAAACTTGAGGGGCAAAATGTCATTTTTAAATCTATGCCCAGATCCCCAAATTCTCTGCAAAATGTAAATAAGTAGCCAACCTAAATTTACCTAGAACTTAGTATATTGTTTTCACTTCCATTTTTGAGATAGAATTTATATACTATGGTGCTCCTCCCCTTTATAATGTAAGACTAAGTGGTTTTTAGTATATTGATAATCATTACCACTATCTAATTCTAGAACATTTTCATCACCCCAAAAAGAACTCCAGTAACCATTAGGGTCACACTCCGTTTCCCCCTCCACGCCACTAATAATCTATTTTCAGCCTCTGTGGAGTTGTCAATTTTGCACATTTTATAGAAATGGACTGCTCCACCACATGGGCTTTTGTGGCTGGCTTCTTTACTTGGCATACTGTTTGTGAGGTTCACCCATGTCGTAGAACATTTCAGCCTTTCATGCCTTTTTATGGCCAAATATTCCATTATATGTATGGCCCATGATTTGTCCTTTCATTCTTCTGTTGACAGACTTCCCTTGCCACTTTTTGACTATTATGGCTGCCAGGAACATGTGGCGCAAGGTTTGTGTGGACACACACTGTATTTTCAGTTCCGTCGGGTGTGTGTATAGCGGGAGTGGAACTGCTGGGTCATTCGGTACCCCTATATTTAGCCTTCTGAGGAACTGCTGGGCTGTTTTCTTATGCTTCACCTCCAAGAGGCTCTGCTGATGGGGAAACTGGTGGTGGGAAGGGAGAGAAGTGGATCTGAGCTCATTCTCAGGGGCGGGGAATGGTGGGCGCAGGGCTGGGAGCTGCTGTAAAGCTCTGAGTACTGCTGTGTGAGTCACTGGTCCAGGTGCTGGAGTCGCCTCTGAGAGCAAGGCAGCCTCGGCCACTGCCCTCTCCTGGAGACACAGTCTCCAGGAGAAACCAGGAGGCCGAGAAGCACAGTGTCAACAAGCACAGCAGTGAAGGCTCTGAGAGGGTACCTGCTAATGTACCCCATCCTCTGCATAGTGACTAAGAAGTCGTGCTTGGAGCCAGCCTGTCTCGGCTCCAATTCCTACCACTTCATAGCTGGGAGACCCAGGCAGTTTCCCTAAGCTCTCACTATGTCTCTGTTTGTCATGTGGAAAATGGGCAGAGTAATAGTGCCTGTTTTGAGGGTTGCAGGGTGAGTTCAAGCCACCAAACTCTACAAAGCTCTCAAAACCTGCTATGCTAGGCATGGTGGCACGTGCCTGTAAACTCAGCACTCAGGAGGCTGAGGCAGGAGGATTGCCAAGAGTTTGAGGCCAGCCTGAACTACAAAGCAAGACCCTGTCACAAAACAAAACAAAACAAAACAACTGGTATAGTCAGCCAGAAACACAGACCAGCAGTGAGGTTGCTACTGCTCTGTCTACGTCTTGCCTGACAGTCAGAATATGAGTCCTGGTGCCTTCCACCTCCGCTGTCCCCCCCTGCCACAGGCCCATTGCCTCTACACAATGCCTACATCAACCAGGGTACCCCCACGCTCTGCTCTAACAACCTGCAGGTTAGCTCATCGGACTCAAACCCCTCATTAAAATGCCAGGCTCGTCTGGCATAGAAAAGGAAATGCTTTTTTTTTTGGTACTGGGAATCAAACTCAGGACCTTGCACTTGCCAGTCAGGTGTGGCACCACTGAGCTAAACCCCTGGGCCCTGGAAATGCTTTTGATGTATTCATCCTCTCTCCTTAACCAGGTTGTGAGCTCCCTGAAACCAGAGCTTGTCATTCCTGTACTGCTACAAAATTTGGGCAAGAAAAAGAAGAGGAGGCAAAGTTGCAGAGTAGGGTCGGACTGACCACGCCCATCACTCGGCTCTGCTCCCTGGAGCTGCCGGAAGGGATGGCTCCGGAGACACCCCAGACCTCTCTTACTCGTCTGCAAAGTCTGGATGGGGCAGTAGCCTGCAAGGTGCAGACAGGGCTGGGCAGTGCTGCCAGGGACCCAAGGCCATGCCTGGATGGTGCCCTGCAGACCCACGGAATTCAGGAAGTCTATGGGGTCAGGATGTAAACCACCCGGGAGTGTCCTCTGATCCCTATCGCACACAGTGTGCCGAGTACAAGGGATCTGCTGTTCGGGTGGGTGATCTTTCTCTCCCAGCCCTATGGATGCTTCTCTGGCTGTTCTCACTCAGCAGGAACTGGAGCAGAAGTATTCAGTTCACTGCGTCCAGGGAAATAATAAGAAACCCACATGGGGCGAGGTTGTGTAATCCCAGACTGCAGTGCCTTGTCATGAGCCCTTGGTTCCAAGAAGATGCACATTCCATTCTATGCTGACCTCTGCTCCTGAGAATTTCCTGAGTTCGCCTTAACGCATGGAGAGTTTATAACAGAGGCTATCTTAAAACTTCCTGCTGTGGATGATGGCAAATACCTGTAATCTCAGCTACTCACGAGACTGAAGCAGGAGGATTTTATGTTTGAGAACAATCTAGGTGAGGAGGACCTATTTCAAAACAAAAAGGGGAGGATAGCTCAGTGGTAGAGCACCTCTGGGTTCCATCCCCAATACCACACACACACACACACACACACACACACACACAGAGTTCCTTCCCCCTCCCTGATCCTGATGCCCTTAAACGACCACAGATGAGCAAGTGCATCACTGGCTGGGTCTTCACGAAGGTACACAGAACGTTGTTTGCCTTTGAAAGGGGGTCTTTCCTCCAAGTGAACTTCATAAGCTTGAGTTCCTTATTTGTACTGAAAAAAGATCACAGAATTTTTTTCTACTGCAAAAAGCAAAAATCTAAAAGTCATGGGCTGGGGATTTAGCTCCGTAGCACTGCACCTGCCTCGTAAGTGCAAGGTCCTGAGTTCCATCCCTGGTACTGGAAAAGAAAAAAAAGTCACACATAGTTTAAGTGGTTTCCATTTTTTTTCTGTGGCAATTTCAAGAGGCAGAGAGGTTACCGTCCCTGAGCTTCCTGGGGTGTTGAACAGCAGCAGCACCTGCTTCACTCTGGTTCATGTTTCAGAGGCACAGTTAAGCCAGGGAATTTTGTGCAGGCCGAGCCCCTGGATATGAGTCTAGAGAACTCGGAGAAATTGCACTCATTTGACAGAGGCGAAATTAAAACTGACCTTTGTGTAGCAGACTCCTCCCAAGATAGGGTGAATGAGTTGTTCGATCAAGATGAAGGGCAGGGGAGATTTCCTAATAATTTAAGGAAACTTACAAGAAACACTTCACTAATCAGTCTGTATTTTGCCCAAAATTGGTAAAATTTAAGCATGAAATAAAAAATTGATCATAGGCAGAAAGAGTTGACTTCTCTCTGGTGGTGGCTAAAATTGGGCAATAAGGAAAGATGAATAGGAAGACAGAAAACACAAGAGGAATGAGCTGGTAAACACCGAACTCATATTTAACAAAAGCCATCGAGGCCCCAGAGAAGACGCCAGGGACAGCACTCGCCAGGCACAAGGGAGCAAGGCCACTCCCAAGCCCTGTGCATGCCGGACACTGCAGAACTTTGGCCAGATCTTAACGACAGAC